AGACATTTTATGAATATGAACACTTCTCCAATTAACTATTCCTTTTCCATGCAGCATTTGCAACAACGCTGGACAGACTGCTGAAGATATTGCATGGTCTTGCGGGTTTGATGAGTGCGGGAGGTTTCTGAACATGCATCGCAGAACACAGGACTTGAAGAACGCTTCATTATCATCCCTCTCTGAACGGCAGACGCTAAGCAGCACTCTCGCAGGACAGAAGAGAGGCGCGGACTCCAGTGCTCAAGATGGAAAGAAAGCACGGGACTGGTGATGAATGTTCTCATAAAGAGAGAGAATTTAAATTTAAAATAGGCTGTTTAACCATTACTGGAGTGAATGGTAAACAGATACTATCAGTATGCCATTCAAAGACTGAATTTCCGGTGGACATTTGGTATTGAGCCTATACTGTAGCCTCAACAGTCTAGATAAATTTACACTGTTCTGGGGTCAGTGATTTGGGGTCTTAAGTACGAGAGGAATGACTGACACTGGTACTGTAGAACTGCTCAGAGCTCAATGTGCTCAGCACATGTTTTGCCTGCCAACAAGAGCAGATGGGAAGGAAAAAGCAGATAATTTTCTTAAAAGGGGGAGACTTCTGGGTTTGTCACTGGAAAAAGTAAGAAAAATTGAACTTGGATCACATGTGTATTGTATAAAAACCTTGATGTCACTGAAATGCTTTATGACAGTGTGCAAATGAGCAGAACATAAGACAGTTGACTTGCTGCCAAGCTTGGCTAATCAAGACATTCTTAATATGGCAAGATTAGCTAAGCAGAGGTTTAAGTCTCCCCATGTGGAAAAGTCAAGGGACTTTGCAATAATCAATGAATAAGGAAACATTTGCTGTTTGAGTTATAGCTGCTGTTTCTTTTTATTGAATTGCAGGAAGCCTTATCTTGCGTAGATGTTCAAAGATATCTTGTGAATATGATGTATGATGAACTTGTAAACTTGGGCAGTCTTGAGGATATGACGTCATTAATATCATCCATTTTCAGCCGGACTGAATATCATGTGAGATGTTGCTGAAATCAACGTAACCTTTAGCGTGACTCAAAGTGGATGTTAAAATAGGCACGGACATTTAAAACATTGTAAGGACAATGAGTAATAAATCACTTTTCTGTGACATGTGGGTTTGCACTCACTGAAACAATGAGACTTCCAGTGAATCCATGAATTCAGATGACAAATAAAAGCGAATAAGTGTCATGCACGTGACTCAAATGGTCTTGGGTCTCTGGGGAAGGCAGAGGTTGTAAAAGGCATTTTGATCCCAGAACTCTGGCCCCTTCCATCCACACCAGCCCTGAAGAAAATACAAACACACACCATTAACAGATGACCGGCTTAAAACACTGAGCTATTGATTCACCAGTGATATACCTCATAATACAGTAATGTGGAGAGCAATATAAATATGACAATAGAGAAACTTGAGGTGCAGCAAAACTATCATTTAATATTTGACCGAAATGTTTTGTTGTTCGGACACAATTTAAACAGTTTCTAATGTCTGAACTATTAACTGATGTTTTAAATGATACACTTAAAATCCTATGTGTCTGGGTATAATGGAATAATATCATAAAATATTATTATTATTGGTGTTATTAAAGTAGCTTGTTATCATTAAGGCAGAATAGAATTTTATATAATATTTATATTAAAATGAAAAGGTCTGACTAGAGTAGTGACATTGTCAAATGCACCTTATCAGTGATGGTCTGCAGGTCTTCTCCACCAGTATAGTGAGGGTCCAAGATAAGAAAGCGTATTTGTCCAGTGTTGTCACTCCACGCTACGCCTAGAATAGTGTGTGCAAGTATTCCCCCACCTGGTGAAAAAATACGGCTTTATTTTTCAATTACCGTTTACATATAAAAATAGCAAAACAAAAAATCAACATAAAAAAATAAGCAATATTATCTATACACTACAAAAGAATGAGGTTGGAAGGATTTTAAATAAAATATTTTTTTACAATTAAAATAATTGTTTTCTATTTTAATACATTTTAAAATTGTATTTATTCCTGTGATGACAAATCAGAAATTTCAGCATCATTACTTCAGTCAAATCATTCTAATCTCCTGAATCTGGTTCTCAATAAACATTGCTTATTACCAATGTTAAAAACATTTTTTAAAAATATAAAAAGTTCGAAATTAGTAGAAAAGAACAGCAAAGCCCAAAGTTTTGAATGATAGCGTATACTACAAGTGTGCTGGATCAGATGTTCATTATAATAATATCAGTTTTTGAGGGGGGAAACCTTGCTCCTATCCAATTACAAGTTGAAGGAAGGCGCTGAAGATAATGTTAACGCACCGATCATGACAGGAGTTCCTTCAGTCTGAAAGTGGTTGGCCAGCTCTCTGCCCTTGGTGGCCAGCTCAGATCCTTGACTTTAACAGAAAGACAATCATTTTTAAAATTCAAACTATTCAGAAACTTGTAAACCTATTTCATCATAATCTTGCATCTGCTTTAGTTAAGCTTAAAGCTGGAAAACACTACTGGACTTTTCCCCCGATTTTCAGTCTTGAGGAGTTGACACTAGTTGCCGAAAGTCAGAGCCAGTGGAGCAGTTGACAGATTTCACAGAAAAATGCATAATATTTCAAACGTTTTAGCTTTCAGACTATGATTCCCATCCAGTCAAGGATATCAAGCATGTCTGATATTTTATTTTGAGCTGACTTTATATATTTACATATTGTTGTGGAATTGTGTGATCCTTAGTTGTTTAGTTTATGATGCCGTTTTTTTTCTGTAATCATTTACAAATTAGGCAAGTGCATGGTGCCTAGTTTTTAAAATTTGTTCAGATTTTAAAAGTTGTGTAGCGTATTCCAGGTTTTAACCAAAATGCATAGTCACTTGTGTGCGGTGGTATACAGAAGAAAAAAACGTGTCCAGTTTTTCAGAACCTACTCCAATATGATCTGTTATGGCCATTACCACTCTAAACAATAAACACACACACACACACACACACACACACACACTTTGTCTACCTGACAAACATGATCTTTGAGGTGACCCCCAGCAGCTGGTTAAGGACAGCCTGAACTTCGATGGAGCCAATCCACTGACGTGAACCCACAAAACGTGGCTCTTTATCCCCAACATCCACAAGAGCCTGAAAAAGCACCAAATGTTTGGTTGTAACAAGGGTTGCTCCTCTTAAATACATGGAACAAGACAGCATAAATTGAACACCATTCCATAAAGTGACAATTTAGTTTACCTGCTGGATCTGTGTGTGTGTGGGCACAGCCGTCTCCACATATCCTTGCTGCTGAAACCAAGAGCAAATAGTCTGAAGGGAACGATACGCACATCCCCAGCCATTATCATCCACGTGATCCTGCATGTAGTGATGATAACTGTACACACCCTGCACCAGATACAGCTACAGAGAGAAACACAAGACAAAGACAAGATTGTTAATGGTTAAAAGAGATTTTGCACTTTAAAAAGTGCTCATGACATATTCAGCCACCTGTAAACGGGGGAGTTTACCGATAAATGAAAATGTTACCATAATTTTACTTACCACCCATATCATTTGTCATCAATCAGATGTGTCTAAAGTCTTCAATTTGAAATTAACAAGCCACATTTTTAAACAAGTACAAGGGCAGATTTGATCTGTTTCTCACCCTGAATTATCATATGACTTCAGAAGACTTGGAATATAATTTTAATAAGACGTATGGAACATTTATGATGCATACTACAAAATTCTCATTTTGTGTTCCACAGATAAAAAGGTAAAAAAATTAGCTAACATGTTTAGAACGACAACATGAATTTCATTTGTGGGTGAACTATTACTTTATTACATACGGTCTCACCTTAGCATCCTCAATGTTGGGTGGGTTCAGGTGTA